CCTGGTTTCTTTTTTCTTCCTCTTAGCTAGCCCTATTTATCATCTTCCCTAAAATTTTCTTAACAAACCCTAAGTCCCTTTCTTCCAAATTCTACCAAAACTCATCAACTTCAACTAAACTTTCTTGCAAACTTCTTCATACTTCATTGAATTCTTGTAATATTTTCATTAAACTTCATCAAGATTTTTTAAAAACATCCCAAAATCCCTCTCTTTCATTTCTCTATCTAGGTTTTTAATCCCAATTTGAAACTCATTTATTCACTTAATATCTTTGTTCCTCACAAACATATATCACTACCTATCACCTACATTGTTAGTTTCCTTCATCAATTTCATCAAAGCTTACCTATTTTCTCATATACAATATTCTAAAAAATTTTCATGGCACTTAAAACTAAAGGCAATGTTGGTCCAAAAAGGAATCCTCTAAGGGAAGCATTTGGTTCATCCATTAAGCCTTTATTCAACTAAAATTTTAGGAATCTTGCTACTAAGGAGAGGTATGAAACAAATTTTACTCATAGGAATGTGAAGCATGAAGGGTAATTAATCTTGAATTCCTCCAATTTATTAAATTTTCTTATTTGCATGTGTTTGAGGAATTTGGTTGGATGAATTAATTATGCATGGATGGAATAGTTTTTGAAAATTTAGTCAAGGTGTTTTATAGTAATGCAACATATATTGAGATTGAAGAGAATAGTAATAGGTATTATCTTGGTAGGTTTAGAACTTTTGTGATAGGAGGAGAAATTGTGGTGAATAAATAGTTGTTAGCTGAGGCATTTTTACTATATGTGGAGACATAAATACTAGATGTGATATGCTTGATTTAGCTCAAAACATCTTTGGGAATAAGAATTTGAGAGTTGTTCCAACATAAACCATAAAATTACCTATGCATGATAGATTATTGCATCTCATAGTTGCACATGTTTGGGCACCATTTGATACTTAATACTCTACAATTATAAAGCAAGATAATTGGTGGATGTATAAGATTAAGCATGAAGAGAGGCCTAATCTTGTGCATTTAATCAATGACATGATGAGGGTGGTGTAAAATAGGATTATACTTTGGTCTATGGGTTTGCAATAAGCAATCTTTTGAAAAAATTAGGTATCAACACAAGGAGAGATAGAGAAATTGTATTTAATAATCTATTCAGTATTTTTGAAATTTATACATTGTGTAGCATGGGTTATACATAGAATTCTATTGGTTTGTGGGTTAGAAAGAATGAGATTGAGGTAAAGCAAGAAGAAAAAAAGCATGATGTTTAAGACATTCCTGAAAAAGGCCCCTATAGTCTACAATTTAATACACAAGGTGCACTACAAGTTTTCATGGCTCAGATGAATAGCTTGCATTCTATGGTTGGGAACTTAAATACTAGGCTTGATGATATGAAAGAGCAAATCCAGCAAGTAAGGACTGCACAAGATAGAATAGAGCAACATTTCTTTCATTTCCCACTTTATCCTCTTCCACAATAACCCATCATTGATGCCATGTTGTAATTGTTTTTCCATCATGTCTATCTTTCATAAGTTTTTAATTTTTCTTAAAGACAAATTGCATTATGGTTTAAGCATTTGGCATTTAACATTTCTATCAATATCATGAACATTTCATTTCCATATTACATTTGGTATCTTGTGTTTTATATTGCTACTGGTTATAATTGTATTGTGTTCTTGAATGTAGTATTGATATTGAGTAAGTTTGCTATGAAATATTAAGCTTGAATTGATACATTATTGCTTTAAATTGATTGTCATATTCTTTGACTACAATATTCTTTTTGCTATGACAAAAAAAAAAAGGTAATGAAATGAAAACTTTGCTGAAAAAGGAGAGAAGGTTTGCTAAAAGGGGGATAAGATATGAAAATTTGTTTATATTGTTTATTTCCTTGAATTGAAATTATTTTGTTACAAATTCTAATAAAGGGAGAAATTACTTGGTTTGAATACTTGATATAAGGTGTGAAATTTTATAAGGCATATGCTTCAATGAATATTTGATATTGCCTTTATTCATTAATGCTCTTGATATTGTGCTTATTGTGCAACAATAATGGATGGACATATGCTTGTTAATGGCTAGTAGAAAATTTTCATGCTTATATTCAAAGGGAGTTATTTTTCAAAGGAAAAATGTTTTTAAAGTAAATTTTTTCTTTTGGTTTTGTCATATCAAAGAGAGAGAGATTGTTAGCATTAAATTGATGAATGTATTTTGAAATGACAAAACAAAAATTTACTAAACTTGAACTAAATTGATTTAAACTTATTTTTGAACATTTTTCTAGCATTTTATCTAGCCAAAAATGGTTTTAAACTAAAACAATTGACTTCCATGATTTAAAAAAGAGAATTAGCCAAATTGAATGGAAAGGATCATCCTCTAAGGGGATAAGATCGATCCCCTGGTTCAAGAGATCGATATGTTTTTTAGCCAGTAGCTTGTCTCGTGAAAATTTTTCAAGAATCAACTGATCCCTTTCCCAATATGGATCGATTGGTTGGGGTTTCTACATGACCTGATCAATGCCCCTAGTGAAGGGATCGATCTATTTTTTACCCAGTAGCCAATCTTTTTTACATCTACCAAAAATGATCGATCAACTCATGTATGAGACTGATCACATGGGTTTAGAGGATCAATCAGGTCCCTTACCTAATCGATCCCTACCTGATCAATCGGGTGTGCTTTTAATGCTTAAAATTTTGGCTTTCAATACATGACCCAATCGATCCCTTCTAGAAGGGATCAATTCGATTTTGCCCAAAAAGCCTCAAATGACTATTTTATGTCAAATTTTGCAGAGGCTTCAAACATTTAATGTAACCAACAGCTATTTTCCACTCTTTACACATACAAAGAGGTCTCCTACCATATTACAAGTCATCAAGAGACAAAAAAAATTTATTACTTTCATTTACTATCTTTTCCAAGCATTAAAAAGCATTTGTTGTGTAAAAAATGCAAAAAATTTCTCTTGTATTTATTTCTCTCTTGATATCCTTCATAATTTTGATTTGTACTTCAAATTAGCAAACATCTAACTTTAGAGAGGTTATTTGAGTTTGTAAAACACTTTAAAACTTGTATTGTGAGGTTGTGAGCTTAAAGGGAAGGATAACCCTTAAGAGATAGTGCTGTTGATTATATAGAGCTTTGAAGAGCTAGTTTGTAAGATTCAACACATATTGGATTGGACTTCTTGACAAGTAAGGCTAATAGAGAGGACGTAGGTACCTAAAAAAATAGTCGAATCTCTATAAATTGTGGTGTTTTATTATTTATCTCAATTTCTTTACTTTCAAAATTATTATTGTGCTCATATTTGTTGTGTTTATTTGCTTAAAAATATTGATTTGTGAATTTTATATTCATTGGATATTAAATTTGGAAAATTTCATAATCAACTAACTCAGCCCCTCTTAATTTAATTCAAGTCTTTGAGCTAACAATTAAGTTTGTGAATAGTTAGATTCATTCAATTTGAATTTGATTCATAGTTAGTTAATAATAAATATGAATCTAGACTCAAAATTTTAAATGATATGAAATATGAAGTAATTTTATCCACAATTAGTTGAGTTTATAATTATCACAGAATCATGAATATCTAAGCTCATGAATAATTAGGTTCAGTGATATTATAGATTCATGAATGATTATTTTCATTAATATTTAAATAAAGTAGATATAAATTTAGACTCAAATTTTAAATGATACAAAATACTAAATACGTTTATTCATAATTAATTGAATTTATGAATACTATATATTATGAATGCCTAATGCATAATTAAAAAAAAATTTCAATGTTAAAAAAAAAAGCAATGTGTCGCCATATCAACAACATAGGAATAGAAATAGTATATGTTAGATAAATAGAGGTCAAGTTTTGCAACTTAGGCGAAATAGGTGCCTAACGCCTCACCATTTCATACTACCTCTGGATCCATCTTTGTCATGGTATAATGGATAATTTGGTTCTTTGCAAATTGCAAGGGTCTAGTCACCTCTCTAAGTTCCTAAACCTCATTAACAAAATTGGGTGACGACTCCTTTAAATTTTTCATTCTTGGATGAAAATTTCTTGTGGTGTATTCTTTGATATGTAGTCTTTATGTTAGGATTGACTATAAATGTAAATCAATATGAGACATGGAACACATGGGCAAAAAGCAACAAACGTTGGCGACCAATCACCCCCTAGGGTTTTGGATCCCCAGCCTCACTGAGTTATATCCTCCAAGGGATCAAGTGACTTGGGGACACATTGAACTATATAAAGTCAAGAAAAGTCTATTGAAAATTGGAATCCTAATCGTTTTAAATAAAGAAAACTCGCCCAATTTTCAAAGAGAACTGTGAATTTGAGCTCTTTGAAAAGCTGAACAATTCTATTTTCATTTCAAACTGTGTTTGAGCTCAAAAGTTTCTGTCAACTGCCAATTGGGAGAAATTACAACTTATATCTTCAATTTGTTAGTCGGTTTACTAGCAAATTAGGAGTGGCATGCACCCTTTTAAATGGAATATTGATATAATTTCCCTTGCACTACAACAAAATTATCATGTGAGATGAGCTATAGATTGACCGCTGCCCCCTCGTTATGATAATGAATCATTCCCCGTGAGATTCGGGACAGGATTTCAGTCCGGGGCTTACTTGCTTTATAACCATAGAGCGAAATAGACCTGGCACATCACAAGCCATCTAACAACAAATAGAGAGTAGGGCATGTGACTCAGGCTTGCTTTCTTCAAATCTTGCGCTCTGAACTACACCCATCCTGCGATAAGGGTGAACGTGGAGAAGAGCATCAACAAAACTGTCGCCGCATGGATTGACAAGGAGCCACTGTTCAGACGAGAGTCAAAAAGTCAGGATGCCGGCAAAACAAAGCCTTTAGCGTGCCAAAACCCCGAGTAGCTTTCTGCCTACTCGGCTCGGACTAATCCTTCCCTACTAGAGAGAGTACATAAAAATCAGTAGATCCGTGTGGACTCAAAACCAGAGAGATTGCGATAGAAAAAAGTACTCTCGAGTGATCGAATGACTTAAAGAAAGCGGGTCGACGCCAGCTGACAGAAATTTGGTGGATGCTGTAGCAATTTGGTTGAAGACCTGGAGGCTTGTTGGATATATGTTTGAGGTTACTTTGAGGACTTGGACAATTGATATTTGGTGGGATGTTTTTCTGTGCTGTTTTCTCCATCTTTTTTCAGTCTTAGTTTTTAGAATTGAGAGAATTTGGGGTTCATACATTCGATGTGTTTTTTTGTAAGGCGTTTCTGTTCCTTTTGGCAGAGAGTTATAGTTTTGTAATCATCAGGTTGCTTAATAAAATTTATTTGATTTAAAAAAAAAAAAAAAACAACAGAGAAAAGCTGACAGAATAAACAGACGAGTAAAATGTCTTGATTCATATTTCATAAACATGACAGACCCATAAATTAAAGTGCTAAAGGGGTGGCTGGTAAAGTTGCTTTGTGTTGCTAGATAGATAACGAGTGTCCTAATTTGGGAGATTAAGCCACCTTAAGCTTTGTTAGGATAAAGGAGAACTGGAAGACCCTTCGCGGGCATAGGCATGGGGTCAACGATAATCTTCTCATCAGGGAGCAATTTCTTCCATTTGAACCTTTTCACCAGATTATGCATGAAAACAAGTATTTCCAATCGAGCATATTCCTTGCCAGGGCACATCCTAGGACCTCCGCCAAATGGAACAAATGTGTATGGAGCTGGCCCGTTTCCATCAAACCTTGAAGGGTCAAATTTCTCTGGTTCCGGGAAGCACTCAGGGTTTCTATGAGTTGAGTTTGCACTCCAATATAACTGCACAAACAAGAGAAAAACAGGAAAAAAAAAAAAAGTAAATCAAAACAATTTTTTATTTTTTATTTTGGGTCAAAAAGGTTATTAGTAGGTGAATGACGACTGACCTTCCAGCCCTTTGGAATGGAGAAACCATTGAAAATGAAGTCATTGATGGCTTCCCTAAAAGCACCTTGTAGTGGTGGGGCAAGTCTTAACACTTCACAGGCAACATTCCATGAATACTTCATCTTTTGAATGTCATCCCAATTCAATAATTCACCTGGGGCTTTTGAATTTGCTATCTCAATTTGTTCTGTACATCAAAAAATGAATTGAGTCATTTCCAATTTGATTCAGCTTGGTTGAACAATTCTTGGAGGCTCAATGAAAGTACTATTTGATGATGACATTTGTGATATTCTAACAAACAAGAAAGATATATGAATATAATATATATTTGATGATGAAATTTATATTGACTGTGGAAGTATAAATAGACTTTGTCCAAAATTTGGACTTGAAGCCATTAGGATTGGTGCAGAAATGATGGTTGAGTCGGAGAATTTAGATATTATTCAATTTACGGAGTTGGTGAATTCTGGCTTTCTTCAAAATATATGTATTATTTAACATGCACCTGAATGGAAAATTCCTAGATAATTAAGATTTAGTTTACTTTCCCAAAAAAAAAATAATAATAAAAAGGATTTGGTTTATTCATCAAAGATATCAATATCCAATGGAAGTTAAACAAAAATCAATTCTGGAAAGATTTAACGTTGACTGAAAAAGCCTATCAATTCAAACCTTTATATTGAAGTTTTAACAAACAATTATCAAAATTCATACACGTCAATGCCATTTAAAAACTCTATCATCATTTTCTTAAATTAAAAAAAAAAGTCTAGCATCATCAATTGGTAACCCTTACATACAAATGGAGAAACACAATTAATTTTATTTGAACTCCACTTCGTTTTTTTGTTACTATATTTACTACTTGTTTGTTATTACTTACTTTCACTACCTAAAAAGTTACAAAAATACGAAACAAAACCATTATAGAAGTATTTACTTCAATTACAAGAAGTTATAAATGACTAAAATAAAGTACAAATTTTAGTACATGTATTAAAGAGAAAAATTAAACTTGAAAATTAATAGACTTATTAAAGATAAAAATTAATAAAATAGAAATTTTAATGCACTTATGAAAGATAAAAACTAATACAAATTACTAAAAATATATGGTTTACTTGGCACGTAAAAATGCTTTTTATTTAGCTTTTTGCTTCCAATAATGCAAATTAACAATCAATTGAGGTTTAATATGATTAGTGGCACCAAAATCTTTAAGCTAGAAAATCTTGAGGCTTTGCTATCTTGGCAGGAAAGATAAAAAAGTGTATGGATGAAAAATTTTTAATTTAATGATTAATTAGACTAAAAAGTGATTGTGAAGTTTAATTATTTAGATTAACTTTTTTATTTTTGCTACCAAACAAAGATTAAAAAAAAAGGTGAAAAGTTAGAGAAAAGATACCATTGTACACTTGCTCATATATGTCAGGGAGTTCTGCCAGATACTTGACAATAAAAGTGCAGGCAGCACTGGCGGTATCATGTCCTCCGATCAACAATCCCAGAATCTTATCAGCAATATCCATCTCGTTCATAAACTGTCCGTTCTCATCACTTGTCAACAACATATGCGACAATATATCTTGAGTTGGCGACGCCTTTCCCTCCGCTAGATCAACCTTTCTTTGCTTGATGATCTTTAAAAGCTCTTTCCTAATGAAATTTGATGCCTTTATAGCACGATTAAATGGGGTTCCAGGCAGATCAATGGGAAGAGAAATGATACCAGAAGCCAAGAGATGGAAAGGAGCCTCGAACTTTGCAACATGGTTGGGATCCTCAATACTCAAAAATAGACGACAAGCTAACCAAAAAGTATATCTCTTTGCCAGCGGGAAAACAACAACTTCATCTTTGTTTTCCCATCCCAAAGCAAAGTGTCTATTGGCAATAGTATCCATGATTCCGATATACCTTTGCAAGGCCTCAGGTTTCATGAACTGAGGAAGGAGTTTCCTCATTTTCTTTGATTCTTCTTTGGCTGAAGTTTGCAAAGAGGATGGGAAGACTTTGTCAACCGAGCTTGGCCACCATGCTGTGACTAACTTGTTTTCGTTGGAAAACAAGAACTTGTTGCCGGCAGCGCCGCAGAAGACGGCGGCCGGCTCGCCAAGGATGTTGGTCTTGAAGACCTGAGAAGAGTACTTGGCGATACGGTCGAATATGAACTTTTCCGGATGGCCTTTCCATCCGGTAGACAGGAACTCTAGGCTCTCGCCTATGATGGGAAGGCCAGGCTTGCCTGGAGGGAGGTTAGGGGCGGAGTAGTTGGACTTGTGCCTGTAGAAAAGGACGAAGAGGGAGAGACTTACAAAGGAGACAAAGAGAAGTAGAAAGGTAATGTAGAAATGCTCCATAGTGTGCTTTGTGGAATCTTTGGGAGTTGGATGTGAATTTGTTTGCAAAGAATAAGGGGTTTTTATAACGATTCCCCTTTACCACCTTGCTATATTTTTTTCTAAGGTTTCACTTAGAAAATAAAATAAAATAAATTTGATTAAAAATAGTATTTTTTTAAGCGAGTCTCAATGTTTGGTACAGTTACGAGTGTATGATCATATTTCAAATATTAATATTCAAATCACATTTTACAAATTATATATATATATATAGTGCGAAAGCATCACGGATTGACAATATCAAAGTCAAATAAAGGCTGCTTCTCATTTTCAACTTATTTTGGTTTAGAGTGCACTTGATCAAGAATTTATTTTTAAATTATATTATATAAATATTTATTCTCAATCAGCCAACTATATTTTGAATTTACCAAATCAACTTTTCAACAAAATATCTTCTTTTAGGATCCATTCGGCATCGTTGCCCATTCTTCTTTATTTAAAAAAAAAAAAATTGTTTTGTTTTCTTTTATCATAAGGCAGGTTTAATAAGTAATGATACTAAAAATTAAACTTTAATAATTAAATACTGACAAATAAACAATAATATGTAATAAAATACAATTTAATAATATTATAAATACTTCTGTACTATAATTGAATATAAATAGTACATTATATTATAGCGTACAATACTATCTACTAAAATAATCTTTTTATTTGTATTTCTTCCACATAATATATAGATAAAACAAAGAAACGTGAACAAGTCATGCGAACTGTATACTCGTTTAAAACAAGGAAATGTGAACAAGGCAGGTTTAAGAAGTGGTTGTCCTCACATAAGTCAAAAATGACAGCATAAAGGAAATCACCGGTATATTTCAAAATCTGAACTCTCTACTCGTTTAAATGCACACTCTTTCAACTGTCTTTTTTCCTGCTAAGTCTTGGTCAATTTGTTCATTATTTGTTTTATGTCATGTAATCTGAAAATTAACACCCCATTATCATTCTTCAAAGTAAGTGCCTTCCATCTTATTTCTTGCACATTTGATTTGGAAAATTTCTTTCTTACTTTGATGGATGCAAGAGAATAAGTCTTTCATTTAAACTTTTTTTTTTTTTACTAAACATTGAAAATATTAAATTTTATGGATTAGCGGTGAAGATACTCTATTTAGTTCGAAGCTTAAACGAGTTGGACCCAAATCTGATCTAAGTCCAATTGTCTAACTTTCTATATTTTTTTTATCTTGTTTGTCTTATTTACTTATATATTTATCTTTTTTATATATTTTTTAATCTTTTATTTATCTAGTTCTAAAATTTTATCATAAATCATAAATCATGTGGATTATTTTAAGCACTAATCAAGGATGATCTCGACAATTAAGACTAAAATATGATCTCTTCAAATATTAAAGAATGGTGAAAAGAAATCAAATCAGGGAATCAAAGTCAGATTTAATTTGAAAATTTTAAAAGGATTCTAAAAATCAAGGAAAATCGAGATAATTCTAGAAAGTAATTAAATCGATTTTAAAGAGAATTAAAAAAAATCAATTCAGAGCATAATCTAATATGTAATATTTTTCATTCAATGCAAAGCCTTAAAATTCCTAGCAGAATGCCCTATATTAAATCTAATCAACCACACATAAAAGAGGGAGAAGGGAAAAAAAAAAAATTTTTCAGGGATCTTAATTTTTTATTTTTTTAATTTTAGGGATGAATCATTCAAGAAGATTCTAAGATTTTTTTTTTTGGATTCTATGATTTTATTTCATTTTGAGTTTGATTTGATTTGCTTTTGGGTTTTAATTTTTGAATTTGACTTCATATTCTATTGAGTATATGGGATTTTTGCTGGGGTTTCTGTTGGTTTTTTATTATGGGATTTTTATTGGGTTGTCAAGAATTTGGAAACTTTTTTGGGTTTTCTAGGTTTAGGATGAACTTTCTAATTAAAGTTTCAAGTTTTTGTGAACCCGACGACCTACGTGAAGGTCCATACTTCAAGCTCGACCTAATCACAGGTTTTTTTTCTTTTTTCTTTTTTTTTTCATTTTCATTTTCATTTTCATTTTCATTTTTTATTTTATTTTTAGATTTTCTTTTCTTTTACTTATTATTATTATTATTGTTGTTGTTGTTGTCGTTGTTGTTGTTATTTTATCTTTAATTATTATTTTACTTATTTTAAACTGAACAATTTATTTTTTTAAAATGCCTTTATGAATTTCATTTTATTTATTTATTTATTAAGAAAAACCAAAAAAATATTTCTAAAATAAATTCATGAATCCTACCAAACTATTGAAGGATTTTTTATGAATGTAAAATTTTTTTAAATTCTACCAAACTATTGGAGAGTTTCATAAATTAATTTTTATAAAAAAATTATTATTAATAAAATAGTTTGTTATGATCCTACCAAACTATTGGAGGATTTGCATCTTAAATTAAATCTTATCAAACTATTGAAAGATTTAGTGCATTTTCTAAAAATAAATTTACAAAGAAATCTCACCAAACTATTGAGATATCTACATCAAAAGTAAATCTTACCAAACTATTAGAAAGTTTTACTAATTATTTTCTTGAATAAAATATATTGATGAACCCGATGATGAAGCCTCTTCAAATTGAGATGCTAATCTCTATGAATTCTCATGAGATGAGAAAATTATCTTAAATTGCTACCAAACTATTAGACCAAATTTAGTATTAATTGTCAATAATTAAATGATTTGGTAAAATTACAAGAATATTTTAAGGCTTGCATAATTTGAAATCAAAGTGGTACTATCATTTGGATAGGTGCGGTAAGGATGCTATAAACTTCCTCATGTATAATTGCACTCCTGAACTTAAAATCTGGTTTCATGGATTAGAATCTACTATTTAAATATGCCTAAGTTAATCTTGGCACTCATCTTTAAATGGCATAGATTCGATTAGGTGGCCAATCATACCTAAACAAAAAGGATTAATGACAACTTTTTAAGTCTATGTCTAGTAGTAAGTCCACAGATTTATACGTTATGACAGTTTGGAGACTCCACTAGTGATGTAAGAGAGTTAGGCTAGTAAATAATTTCTTGTTATCCAAGCCTAACCTAATAAATTTAAGATTTTTTTCTTGTTTTTATGTTATTTGTTTTATTTATTTATTCATTTTATATATCTATCATTCATTTTCACATACATAACATGAGCTGTACACCTAAATTTTATTTTTTATGAGGGAGTAAAGTACCTATGCCTTTGTGAGATTTCATATTTCTGCATGGGCTAGTGAAAAACTTCTACTCAAATTGAAAATTTTTTGCTTATAGCTTATAATGGGAGAAGATTGAGGTGCCTTATTAGTCTATAATAGACAATGATGTAAGGAACAATTTAGTAACCCTTAGATTATCAAAATTTTGAACCTAGCATCTAAATAAACCCTAAAGGTCCAAACCTAGGTTAGAGTCATGCCTTCCATTGTGTTAAAAAAGCTCAAATAGGACATATGATGAAACATTTATTTTGCTTGTAAATTTATATATTTTCTTTATATTTGCGTATTAATCCTTTATGTTGTTTTTTATATATATTATTCTTTGTATATATCATTTTTTTGTACCAGCCCTTTTCTTTTGTTATATATGCATGCATTTACATCATTAAATCTTTCTTGTCGCATTCATGCATTTTTTAATTCAATCTCATGCATAATTTAATGGTCATATAAACATCACTTTAAATCTATACCCTAATTATGAAAATTTAAGGTTCAAGGATTGCTTAACTAACTCATCACAAGTACAATACATGGACTTAAGCTAGAAGAATGGAACAAATAATGCAAGCCATGTTGAGAAATTAGAAAAGGCCTAAGAGGAAATTAAAGGAGACCTAGCAAAATCCTTAAGGCATTTGGTAAGTTGAATAAAGGAAAGGTAATAGAAGAAGACATTTCACATGACATTACTAGTCTTTTATATCTTTCAGGTTATGGTCTGTATCAAGCACTATCCACTCTAAGTTTTCCATCACAACAGTTTGCATTTTTGACAAGCTATACTTACTTAGAAATGCTACCTACACCCAGTAAAGGGAATGTCCAAAGCTACAACAACCTTACCCTTGCTAAAAAGATAGTTGAACCCATCCAAGTTCCTAATTTGGACATCCCAAAAGAGAAACTGAAATTGGTTGAGGCTTTGGAAGATTCAAAAGCTAATTACAAGATGAACATGCTCGATGAGAGGTTACGAGCTAGTGAAGGGATAGATTTTTATGGCTCTATGGATGCCATCGACTTTTATTTGGTCCCAGATGTTATGATTCCTTCGAAATTTAAAGTTTCATAGTTTGAAAAGTATAATGGTATAAGTGTCTAATAACTCATGTCAACATGTATTGTCAAAAGATGGTAGCCTATGCCAGTAATGAGAAACTACTCATGCATGTATTTTAAGACAATTTAATTGGTTCTACTACAATGTGGTATGTTTGATTAGATAGAACCCCCATCTAATCATAGAAGGATTTGACATGTTCTTTCATCAATCAATATCATCATATTACATACATGGCTCATGATCGCCTTCTTTTACAGGGCATAGAGAAAAGGTAATAGAGTATTTCAAAGATATGCCCAAAAGTGAAGGGATGTGACTGCTCAATTTCAACCTCCTTTGACTAAAAAAAATAATAATCTTATTTGTAAGCATTTTTAAGGTACCTTATTATGAGAAGATGATAGGAAATGCATAAAAAAACTTTACTGATATGGTGATCTCATGGGAGATTATTGAAAATGATATCAAGAGTGGTAAGCTTAAAGAATAAGAGGTAATAGTGCCAAGAAAGATATGATGCCTAGGAAGAAAGAAGTTGAAGCCCAAGTAGTGAATTTTGAAAGGCAACAATTCAGGGGTTATGCTTCATATCCATAACATGTTCATCTTATTTATTACCCTGCAATCAATAATATTGCACTAGTTTTTTACCAGCTTGATTACCCAAATATAAGCAATATCTATCCAAGCCCTTATCAACTAGCCTTTTAAGCACTGTATATT